CTCCTCTAAAACGAGCTTTGATATCCCTTCCGGTGATACCTCATGGATGGATATAACCGACTATACGTATGACTCAAATTACAACGCCATTAATATATCAAATTCCTTGTACGACCCTTACAACCCATGGCTTGGTATATACTCAGAGAATACTATTTTCTTCGATACCTCTATAGCGCAGCAGTCCATACAAAAGCCGACTTCGGGGCAATTCCCACTCTTTTATACTGCTCCCGGGCGTGGTCCGTATCATTTAGCCCGTAATAAGATCGATTCTGTTATTAGCCCTGATCATGGTTCCGGTATTCCTCCTACTCAGTTTTATAAGGCCCGGTATTATTACAGTGCTGTAGGTATAGGCCTGGTGCCATCCAAACTACCAAAAGCCAGCTTTTATCCCAACCCCTCATCAGGATTACTGAAGGTGGAACTTGAAGCCGGGCATAATTATAAGCTTCTTCAAATTTATAACCTGCAAGGTCGGTTGCTTCACGTTTATTCCCTGGAAAGTCAAATGAAAGAGCTGGACATCAGGCTCACACACCAGGGTTTCTACCTGCTCAGGTTAATGGGTGAAAAATACAGCAGCTCCGAAAAAATACTGGTGAATTAAGCTCTTTAAACCCAATAGGTTTTATAACCCTTAATCTCCAAAGTTTTCGTTCAAAACCTGCTCTACGAGACCCAACAGGTTTTGAAAACCTGTTGGGTCTTTGGGGCTAAACCCTCCGTTGTTTTATAAGGCTAAAGAAATTTGTTGATATTTTTGATATCAATCAAAACCACCCAACCATGTCACAATATCTCCTTTGGATTCTTATTACTCTTGCGGTACTGGTGCTAATAGTAGCATTGCGAATAAAGTTTAATGATAAATTAAAACTATCTACCTCTGATATGGGTATCGCGCTTATACCCTTTATCATCTGGCTCATTATGTCAGGAAAAATTAGCGAATTAAGTGTAGGCGATGTTTCTTTTAAAACCACATTTGAAGAGGTTCAACAAAAGAAAATTGATCCACAGACCCTTACCAATGTTGATGTAAACCGGGTACCCTCAGCTCTTAAAGCAGGTACGGGTCAGATTGGGTATATTGCCTCAAACCAAACCGAAGCCTTAATCTTTAAAATCGGGTACGATAATTACTCTCCTGAAGCCATACAAGAGTATTTTACCAAACTTCTTAACTCGTCATTGAAATACATCATATTTAACAATATCAATGGAGACTTTGTGGGTATTATCCAGTTTTCGACCCTAGTTCAACAAACCATGAGAATCCACGGTGATGGGGATTGGGGAGATATTGACAAGCTTACGGAAGCTATCATAAATAAGAAAACCCAGGAACTACTTGAATTAAAAGGCTTTATCGGAAAAAACAAAGCGGCAACTTTTCAGGACTCAAGGGCCGATATTCTGGCACGAGCCGTGGGTATAAATAGTTCGTACCTTCCCGTGGTGGATAAGGAAAAGTTCGTGGGAGTAATAACCCAGGACCGTATCAATTCCATCATCCTGCTGGAGCTCTACAAGCATGATCAAAAAGCAGAATCGTAAATAAAATTTGCCCTAAACTCCTGATCAGGAACTTTTAAAACTGTTGTACTATACCCCATGCCCCTCTTCCAAAAATCCGTTCTCTCTGACTATTTAAAAAAGCAGGATGCCAAAGCCGTACAAAAGGCTTATAAAACCTTTACCGCCTACTTTCACCAGGCCGGGGTGCAGCAAAACATCCGCAAAAGCAAGGAAGAACAGTTTCAGGCTACCTTTTTAAGCAAGCTGTTTGAAGAGGCTTTGGGCTACACCCTCTTCCCACAACCTAAACACGACCTCACCACCGAATTTAAAAACGAAAAGGGCGCTAAAAAAGCGGATGGTGCCCTGGTGAAAGACGGCAAGGCCATGGGGGTAATTGAACTGAAATCCACCAAAACCAAAGACCTGGAAAGCATACGCCAACAGGCCTTTGACTATAAAGCCAACCACAGCGATTGCCGTTATGTGGTTACCTCCAATTTTGAAAAACTGCGCTTTTACATCAATGATGCGGTAGACTGGCTGGAGTTTGACCTGTTTACCCTCACCCTTGATGAGTTTGCCCTGTTGTACCTCTGCCTGCAACGCGACCATATTTTCAAGGATCTGCCGCAGCAGATCAAAAAAGAATCGGTGCTGCAGGAAGAAAAGATCACCAAAAGCCTGTACCAGGATTATTCCCGCTTTCGCATGGAGCTGTACCGCGACCTGATCAAACGCAACCGGTACAATGCACAGTTGAAAGAACTTTCGGAAACCTCCATTAAGCGCACCCTCTTTAAAAAAACGCAGAAGCTGCTGGACCGCTTTCTCTTCATCTTTTTTGCGGAAGACCGGGGCCTGATACCGCGCAATATGATCGTAAAGATCAATAAGGAGTGGCGCGATTTGCAAAAAATGCGTGGCACCCAAAGCCTGTACGAACGCTACAGGCTCTATTTTACCGACCTGAACGAGGGCAACCGCGAGCAGGATATTTTTGCTTACAACGGAGGGTTGTTTGAGCCGGACCCCGTACTGGACCACGCGGAAATTGATGACGAGCTGCTATACCGCCATACGGAAAAGCTCACCGCCTACGACTTTGAAAGCGAGGTGGATGTAAACATACTGGGGCATATTTTTGAGCACAGCCTGAACGAAATTGAAAGCGTAAACGCAGAGATTGAGGGCGAAACCTTTGATAAGCAAAAGGCCAGGCGCAAAAAAGACGGGGTTTTTTATACGCCCCGCTACATTACCAAGTACATAGTGGATCATACCCTGGGTAAACTGTGCAGCGAAAAGCGGCAGGAGCTGGGCATTGCAGAAGAAGAATACTTTAAAGGGCGCAAAAACCGTAAAAAAGAAACCCTGGAAGCCCTGCTGCAAAAGCTAACCGACTACCGCGAGTGGCTGCTGCAACTTACCGTATGCGACCCCGCCTGCGGCAGTGGCGCCTTTTTAAACCAGGCCCTGGAATTTTTAATAGCCGAACACCGCCAGATGGATGAATACCGGGCTAAACTTTTAGGCGAGCCACTAACCATTTCGGATATTGAGAACCGCATACTGGAAAACAACCTGTACGGTGTGGATATTAACCAGGAGAGCGTGGAGATAGCCAAACTCTCGCTGTGGCTGCGCACCGCCCAGCGCGGGCGCAAGCTCACCTCGCTGAGCCATAATATTAAAACCGGCAACTCCCTGATTGACTCCGTAAAAGTGGCGGGCGATAAAGCTTTTAAGTGGGAAAAGGAATTTCCCCAGGTGTTTGCCAAAGGGGGCTTTGATGTGGTGATTGGGAATCCGCCTTACGTGCACCTGGAATCCATTCGGGAGGTTTCTCAACAGCTTTCAGCTTTAAAGTATGAGACCTATGACAAGCGTGGAGATTTGTATCCCCTATTTGTTGAAAAGGGCATGGATATTTTAAAGCCTTCAGGTTTACTGTCTTTCATTATGCCTAACAAATGGTTGCAAGCCGGTTATGGCAAAAGCTTGAGAGAATACTTTTTGAAAAGCAATTTATTACGCCTGATCGACTTTGGTGATTTTCAAATTTTTCAGGGAGCTACCACTTATCCCTGCATTTTTATTTCCGAAAAGAAAACCCCTTCTGAAAGCTTTGAGGTATCCGTACTGAAATCATCATCTGCGGAAGACTTTGATACGCATGTAATAGAAACCAAGGAAACCTTTAAAACCAAAAACTTTAGTGGTAAAACCTGGGTCATTTCCTCTAACCTGGATATCCAGATTTTGGAACGTTTGAAAGTTAATTTTCAAACTCTTTCAGATTTTATAGGTGGCGAGGCCAACTATGGTATCAAGCCAGGTTTGACGGAAGCCTTTATTATTGATGAGCTAACCAAAAATACGATAGTTACAGAGGACACAAACGCCAGTGAAATTATTCACCCAGTATTAAGAGGAAGAGATATTATGCCCTGGCATGGTATTCATCAGGGAGCGTGGATGATTTGTACATTTCCTGCTCTTAATATTAGCATTAATGATTACCCATCGGTAAAAAAACATTTTCTTGATTTTGGTGAAAAAAGGCTTAGTCAAAGTGGTGAAAAAGGAAGCCGGAAAAAAACCAATAATAAATGGTTTGAGACACAGGATACGATAGCCTATCATGCAGACTTTAAGAAGCCCAAAATCATGTATCAAACCTTTCAGGTAAAACCATGCTTTATCTATGATGAACAAGGTCTTTATTGCAATAACTCAATGTGGATCATACCTACTGACAGCAAGGCTTTAGTTGGGGTTTTGAACTCAAAAACAGGGTGGTGGCTTATCAATAAATACTGCACACAAATTCAAAATGGCTGCCAATTGATTTGGAAATATTTTGGCCAAATACCAGTGCCCAATCTGGATAAAGCAGAAGGCTTGGAAAAGCGGTCTTCTAATATGATAGAGGTGGTAGCAACCCGGCAATCAGCCAGCAACTCATTTCTTTCTTTACTCCAATCCAAATTTACTATTGACAAACTCAGCCGCAAACTCCAAAACTGGCCTTCCCTGGATTTTAAAGGCTTTTTAAAAGAACTGAAAAAAGCCAAAGTACAACTGAGCCTGGCCGAAGAAGCGGAGTGGATGGCGTACTTCAACACCCAAAAGGCCCAAGTACAGGTGCTGCAAAAACAAGCCGATGCTCTGGACCGTGAGATTGACCAAATGGTGTACGCGCTGTACGGCTTAACGGAGGAAGAAATTGCGATAGTGGAAAATACTTAATTCAACCAACCAGACCCGACAGGTTTTGGAAACCTGTCGGGTCTCCTAATTTTACCCCCTGGCTAGCGCCCTTTCCTTAATCCTGAATACGTACGGCTTTGGTTAAAACAGGCACCTGGTTTTCTGACAGATTGAGATAATATAACCCTCTTTTGAGTTCTCCCCGGTACAAGTTAAAACTCTGCCCATTGAGACCTTCTTCTTTACGCACGGTTTGTCCCAAGGCATTGTAAAGCGTAAGCCGGCCGTTATTGAGGGCATTTTCCAGTTGGATATGGAGTACTGAGGAAAAGGGATTGGGGAAAAGGTGTACGGCACCGAATGCGGTTTCTGTAATATCCATACCAGACAATACCGTCAGGTTGGTAATCACAATACTGTCACAGCCAGCTGCGGAGGAAAGTGTGTCGGTATAGATGCCGGTTTTGGTATATATACTATCTCCCACCTGAACGCTGTCTCCGTAGGTAATGGTAAGATGGGAAGTATCCTGATAGGTAGGGTTCACCTGCAGATTGGTGATAATGATGCTATCGCAGAAATGGACGCTCCTAAGCGTATCGTTATAAATGCCCGATTGAAAATAGGTATGAGCACCTACTACCACAATATCTCCCTGGCAGATGGTTATACTTGTACTGTCATGATAGGAAGGCTTTACCCAAAGGGTGGTAGTTACAATGCTGTCGCAATTAAAGGCATTAAAAAGCGTATCGGTATACACCCCAGGCTGAAAATGGGTGTAGCTTCCCACCTGCACACTGTCCCCCTGGCAAATAGTGGTATCCTGACTTACATAATCCGGGAAACAGCAGTTCAAACCTGCCTGAACGGGTGTGGCCCTATCGGTAGTAGTGCCATCTCCCAACTCGCCTTCGCTATTATCTCCGCAGGCCCAGATACTGCCATCTTTGGCTACAAACATGGAATGCCAGGTGCCGGCTCCTATGGCTATGATATTGGAAAGAGAAGTGGCCTGGGCAATAGATTTCTGAGTAACAGAAGTTCCCCCCAGTCCCAGCTGCCCTTTATGGTTACGGCCGCAGCCCCACACCGTACCATCCGCTTTTAGAAAAAGGGAATGGTAATCCCCGGTTGCAATCCCTACCACTCCGCTTAAACCGGGAATTTTAAAGGGGGTGGAACGATGGGTAGTAGTACCATCTCCCAACTGACCAAAATCGTTACGGCCACTGGCCCAAACCGTACTGTCACTCTTGAGAAAGAGCGAATGTCCATACCCCGCAGCCATTTCGGTAATGCCGGAAAGACCAATAGCCTTTACCGGTACATTGCGGGACAAGGTGGTGCCATCACACATCTGACCCCAGGTATTATACCCACTGCTGTACACTGTACTATCATATTTCAGGAAATGAGAATGTCCATATCCCGCAGCCACCTTCCATACACTGTCAATCGTATTCAGCTGGAGGGGCACGTTGGAACCGGTATTGGTACCATTGCCAAACTGGCCTGTACTATTGAGGCCGTTTACCCAAACGGAACTATCGGCTTTCACATAAAGGGTATGGCCCGTTCCGGCCGCAATAGCCACAACTTTATCCATTTGTGATACCGGAACCGGAACGGAGCGGTTATTGGAGGTCCCGTCTCCCAGCTGCCCGTACGAATTAAACCCGCAGGTCCACACAGTACTGTCTGCCAACAGGAACACACTGTGATTACTTCCTGCATCCACCCAAACCACATTATCTAAATTATTTACCGAAACGGGAGTAGAACTGCCGCTAATGCCGCTATTTCCCAGCTGACCATGCTGGTTCTTACCCCAGGCATACGCTATTGAGTCGCCACAAAAAGTTACCACATGGCGGGTTCCTCCGTCTATTTTCTGGGCGTAGGAAAAGTTAAACGTTAGAAGGCTTATAAGGAGTGTTAAGAAACTAAAACGGAATGACACCATGGATTAATACTACGTTGGGATGGGTTTTACTTTAGAACGGGTTGTAAAGTAGCAAAATAAAGCAGAGTCTTAATATACCGTGAGCTTCTTTTTGATGATGAATTATACACTTTAGGTTATTCCGGTTGAGCCGTTTTATCAAGACCCGTTCACAGTACCCGTTAAAAGGTAAAAGGGTCAGGTGTTTGAATCAAAATCCAAAACCCTATTTTTGGCAAAAGCTCAAACTGAATGGAAGAAACCACTACACCAATGCTTACCAATGATGCCGTTGTATTAGGCCTATTGGTAGCTATACTTGGATTTGTATTTTTCACCTCCCACAGTGAAAAATCCGGCTGGCAAAAATTTTACACTTACGTTCCGGCCCTGCTGCTGTGTTACTTCATTCCCTCCATCTTTAACTCTTTGGGTGTGATTGACGGTGAACAGAGTAACCTTTATTTTGTGGCCTCCCGTTATTTATTGCCTACTTCCCTGGTGTTGCTCACCCTGAGTATAGACCTTAAAGAGATCTGGAAGCTGCGCCATAAAGCCGGGCTGATGTTCCTTACCGGAACGGTAGGGATTGTTATTGGTGGTCCGCTGGCTATTTTAATCGTAAGCACCTTTGCTCCTGATGTGGTAGGTGGCCAGGGCCCTGAGGAAGTATGGCGCGGATTGGCCACTATTGCCGGTAGCTGGATTGGCGGAGGGGCTAACCAGGCAGCCATGTTTGAAGTATTCAAGCCTTCCGGTGAACTCTTCTCAGCCACCATTGCGGTGGATGTGATTGTAGCCAATATATGGATGGCCTTCCTCTTATACGGAGCCGGCATGTCGGAGCGGGTAGATCGTTTCTTTAAAGCAGATTCATCTGCTGTTCACCAGCTGAAGGAAAAGATCGAGAATTACCAGCTGAGTATTTCCAAAATACCCACCCTTACCGATATCATGGTCATCCTGGCCTTTGGCTTTGGGGCTACGGCCATAGGACATTTTGGAGCTGACCTTATCGCTCCTTTTATCGGAGATAATTTTCCCGGGCTGGCCAAGTTCAGCCTCACCAGTGGTTTTTTCTGGCTGATTGTAATTGCCACTACCCTGGGTATTATTCTCTCCTTTACCAAAGCGCGTAAGCTGGAAGGCGCAGGCGCCTCTAAACTGGGCAGTGCCATGCTGTATATCCTGGTAGCTACCATTGGTATGAAGATGAACGTACTCGCCATTTTTGATAACCCCGGCTTGTTTATGGTAGGCCTTATCTGGATGCTGGTGCACGTAACTTTATTACTAGTGGTAGGCCGTTTGATCAAAGCCCCGTTCTTCTTTGTGGCAGTAGGGAGCCAGGCCAATGTGGGAGGAGCCGCATCTGCTCCAATTGTGGCCGGAGCCTTTCACCCCTCCCTGGCACCAGTGGGTGTGCTATTGGCTGTACTTGGCTATGCATTAGGAACCTATGGTGCTTATATTTGCGGACTTTTAATGCAGGCTGCTGCACAATAACTTCCTTCATGAAGAAATTCCTGCTACTGGTTTCCTTTAGCTTTAGCCTTTACGGTTTGGCCCAGAATACTGAAACTGAAACGGTAAAGTCTATTTACACACAGGCATTAACCGAGCAACAGGGGTACCAATGGCTTAAAAAGCTAACCGACATTGGAGGCCGGCTGGCCGGCTCCGATGAAGCGACCGAGGCCGTAAAAGTTTTTCAAGAGATGGCGGACTCCCTGGGCTTTTCCACACAATTACAAGAGGTTAAGGTACCCCACTGGGTGCGCGGACCTAAGGAGATAGCTTACTACACTCAAAGTGGCAAGCGTACGGAAGTAGCAGTTTGTGCTTTAGGTGGCTCAGTGGAAACCCCTGAAAAAGGTTTGGAGGCACAAGTGGTGGAGATCACTTCTTTTGAGCAGCTGGATGTTATGACCAATGAGCTGGAAGGAAAAATAGCTTTCTATAATATACCTATGGACCCGGCCTTTATCAACACTTTTTTTGCCTATTCCGGTGCCGTAAAGCAACGCTATGTAGGCGCCTTGGAAGCTTCTAAAAAGGGAGCCGTGGGCGTGATAGCCCGTTCCCTGAGTTCCAGCATTAACCCTTACCCCCATACCGGCAGCATGACCTATGCGGGAGCCGAGGAACTGATACCCGCTATGGCCATCAGCACCTTTCATGCTGAGCAATTGAGCCGCGACTTAAAGTCTACCCCACAGCTGAAATTCTTCATGAAAATGGCTCCTGAGCATAAGGACAGTGTACTCTCCTATAACCTGGTGGCCGAACTGAAAGGCAAAGAAAAACCGGATGAGGTAATTGTGATTGGCGGACATATTGATTCATGGGATTTGGGCACCGGGGCTCATGATGATGGAGCCGGCTGCATACATAGCCTGGAGGCCGCTTACTTACTTAAAAAACTGAACCTTCTTCCCCAGCGCACCTTGCGGGTAGTATTTTTTATGAACGAAGAGTTTGGCCTGAACGGAGCTAAAGTATATGCCGCACGTTCCAAAAAAGAAAATATTAAGCATGTCATAGCTA